CTAAATATTGCATTTATTTATTTATTTTTATGTTTATATATTATCTTTGTTTGTTCATTTGCTTGTAGGTATATGTAAATGCTTATATATTATATATATATGTATATACATATACATTTATTTATTTATTTATTTATTTATTTATTTATTTATTTATTTATTTATTTATTTAAGCAATAGTACAGCCCCGCGTCCGTCTCTGTTTTTTGTTTGTCTCCTTTTGTTTTTTTGTTTAATATATATTTCTTTTATATATCTCTCTTTATTTAATATATATTTATTTTATCTTTATTTATTTGATATTTATTTTTACTGTTTATATTTATTATATATATCTCTCTGTCTCTTTTTATTTAATATTTATTTCTTTTTTATCTCTCTTTTATTTAATGTATATTTATTTTATCTCTCTTTATTTAATGTTTATTACTTTTATGCTTATTACTTTTATCCTTTTTATTATATATATATTTATTTATCTTTATTTATTATTTATTTTTATACTGTCTCCTTTCTATTTGTCTCTGCGCAGACGCGACCCCCGTTTGGTGCGTGGATGCCTTTAACAGCGCATCTTCGTATGTGTCTCCTTCCGTCTCTTCTTCTTGTTCTTCATCATCATCATCATCTTCTTCTTCTTTATCTTCTTCTTCTTCTTCGTCTTCTTCTACTTCATTATCTTCATCTTTATGTGCTGGCGAAGTGATATTAAAAGAAAGAAGAGGCTGGGGGACCGGAGGGATGATATCAAAATTAGTTGCATGCAAAACAGCAGCAGCTTTGGGTGTACATGCAGCTATAATTAGAGGCGCAGAGCCGTCAAGAGTATTTGATATTCTTTCGTTTGTTGCTGGGAGAATATTTAACTCTAAACATCATCATCATTACTTCAGCAAACATATATCAAATACTAATACTGCTTCTGATGCCCCTGCTGCTGCTGCTGCTGCTGCTGCTGCTGCTGCTGCTGCTGGTGCTGCTGGTGATGGTGATGGTCATGGTGCTGCTGCTGCTGAAGAAGGAGCAGCAGCAGCAGCAGCAGCAGCAGCAACAGCAGCAGGTGAAGACCCAGAAGAAGAGACAACGGAAGAAGAGACAGAGACAGAGACAGAGACAGAGACAGAAACAGAGACAGAAACAGAGACAGAGACAGCAGGATCCACATCCTGCTGCAGCAAACAGCAGCAAAGAGGAGACAATCTGCTTCGTCATTTAATACCTCAAGAGCTTCGACGTCCTTCCCTTAGCAGCAGCAGCAGCAGCAGCAGCAGCAGCAAATGGAGCGGTGTGGGGGAGTTGCTTGCTGCAGCAGGAGCAGCAGCAGCAGCAGCAGGGAGAGGAATCATACAAAAAGAAACAGCAAATACACAACAAGGAGACAGCGCAAAGACAAACAGAGACCCAAAACCTTCAGTCTCCCCGCCCTCCAAGCCAGAGCAACCAGCAGCAGCAGCAGCAGAAGCAGCAGCAGCAGAAGCAGCAACAGCAGAAGCAGCAACAGCAGAAGCAGCAGACGCATCCGTCCGTACAGAAGGTATCTGCGAACATTCCCTAGAAGAAGCCCACCGGGAGCAACAGCAGCAGCAGCAGCAACAGCAGCAGCAGCAGCAGCAGCAGCAACAGCAGCAGCAGCAGCAGCAGAAGCAGGTGATGTGGGCACGCCAAGGGGGCATTCGTTTTGCTCCGCCTTCAGAGGAAGAGTTGAAGATGTCTCCTCCACCATTCAAAGGTAATCGTTTGTCTCCGTTCCTGCTGCTGCTGCTGCTGCTGCTGCTGGTAATGCTGCTGCTGCTGCTACTGTTGTTGCTGTTGGTGTGTTGCTGCTGCTGCTGCTACTGTTGTTGCTGTTGGTGTGTTGTTGCTGCTGCTGCTGCTACTGTTGTTACTGTTCTTGTGTTGCTGCTGTTGCTGCTACTGTTGTTGCTGTTGTTGTGGCGCTGCTGCTGTTGCTGCTGGTGCTGTTTTGTTGCTGCTGCTGCCGCTGCTACTGTTGTTGCAGTTGCTGCTGCTGCTGCTGATGCTGCTGCTGCATGCTTATAGGGACATTATTTATATCTGCTGCTCGTGCTGCCTCTGCTGCTCGTGCTGCTGCTGCTGCTGCTGCTGCTGCTGCTGCTGCTGCTGCATGATTGCAGGGACATTATTTATATCTGCTGCTGGTGTTTGCTGTCAATCTGTGCGTTTGGTGCGGCGTTGGATTTCGCTGCTGCCGGTTCGCGGAGTGCTGCGAGTAGATTTGGGGTGTATACGCAGCATCATCATCAACAGAAAAAGCCTCTTTGCTGCTGGTGAGTATCCTGCTGCTGCTGCTGCTGCTGCTGCTGCTGCTGCTTCTGCTGTTGGTGCTGCTGGTGCTGGTGCTGTAGCTGCTGTTGCTGCTGGTGCTGCTACCGCTGTTGCTGGTGCTGCCGTTGCTTCTGCTGTTGCTGCTGCTGATACTTCTGCTGCTGGTGCTGTTGCTGCTGTGGCTTCTGCTGCTCGTGTTGCTGCTGGTGCTGCTGCTCTTGGTGCTGCTGCTATAGCTGTTGGGGATGATGATGATTGTTGTTTCTTGCTGCTGATGCTCCTGCTGATGCTAATTGCTGCTGATGATTGCTGTTGCTGCTGCTGCTGCTGGTGATTGCTGTTGCTGCTGCTGCTGCTGGTGATTGGTGTTGCTGCTGCGCATGCGGCGCTCTGCAATTAATGCTGCTGCTGCTGCTGATATGGGTTTTGCTGCTGCTGCTGATTTCGAACGAGACAGCAGCAGAATCCTGTATTACCTTTGTCTATATCTGCCTGCTGCTGCTGCTGCTGCTGCTTCTGTTACGTTTGCTGTTGCTGCTGTGCTGCTTCTGCTTCTGCTGCTTTGTTGCTGCTGCTTCTGCTGCTGCTGCTGCTGCTGCTGCTGCTGTTGTGTTTGCTGCAGGTATAAAGGAGGTAGAGGGTGCATTTGTTGCAGGAGAGTGCGTGAGTATATATTTAGCTGCCAGTACACCGCAGCACACACAAAAGACAGCAGAAATCGCCCGCTGTATTTCAAATTTTTCAAGTGCAGAACTCCAAATCATTAAAGGTAACTCCTATTACCCTGTATATCTAGCTAGCTAGCTAGCTAGCTAGATAGATAGGTAGCTAGATTGCTAGATAGCTAGATATATAGGTAGCTTGCTAGCGACCTGGATAGATAGATAGATAGATAGATAGATAGCCGGATAGATAGACAGATAGCTAGATAGATAGATAGCTAGCTAGCTACCTATATAGCTAGCTACCTATATAGCTAGCTAGCTAGTTAGCTAGATAGATGGATTGCTAGCTATTAAACTGCTGCTGCTGCTGCAACTGCTGTCGTTGCAACTGCTGCTGCTGCTGCTGCTGTATATTCAGGGCATCGCAGCAGAGACTTTGAAGGTTTGCTGGGGTACGCAGTGGATCAGGAAGTCGCCCACCGAAGAAATGTTGTGCTGCTGTGCAAACACAAAGAGGAGACACTTCAGATGCTCTCCCCACAAAAGGAGACACTTTAAATCGATCCCAAAGGAGACACTTTAACTCGATCCCAAAGGAGACACGATCCCAAGGGAGACACTTCATATCGATCCCAAGGGAGACACTTTATATCGATCCCAAAGGAGACACTTTAAATCGATCCCAAGGGAGACACTTTATATCGATCCCAAGGGAGATACGATCCCAAAGGAGACACTTGAAAGCGATCCCAAAGGATCCTGCAGCTCCTCCTGAGGGGGCCCCGTACGGGCCCATAGAGCAGCACTTTCTTAGGGGCCCCCGTAGGGGCCCTTTGAATCACTTTCTTAGGGGCCCCCTGCACCTCTTTCTTAAGGGCCCCTTGCAGCACTTTCTTAGGGCCCCCTGCAGCACTTTCTGAGGGGCCCCCTCGGGTGCCCCCTGCAGCACTTTCTTAGGGGCCCCCTTGCGGCCCCCCTGCAGCTCTTTCTGAGGGGCCTCCTTGGGGGCCCCTAGAATGCCTCGCTGGGGGCCCTTCTGAGGCGGCTTTCAGAAGGGCCCCCTGAGGGCCTCTCCTAGGGGCCCCCTTAGGGGCCCCCTGCGGGCCTTTCTGAGGGGCCCCCTTAGGGGGGTGCCCCTGAAGCTTCTTCTGGGGGCCCCCAGGATGGACCGCCTGAAGGGTTTCTAGGGGTTTCTTCTGAAGGGCCCCCAGAGGGGGCCTCCAAAGAGCCTCGTAAGGGGCCTCCTGGGGGACCCCTAAGGAGCCTACTGAGGGGCCTCCTAAGGGGCCCCCAGAGGGGCCTCCTAAGGAGCCCCTAGAGGGGCCCCCTGAATGTCTTTCTGAAGGGCCCCTTGTAGGCGCTTGTATGATCTTGATTGCTGCAGTTTATTCGATAGAGGGTTTCTCATTGCTGCTGCTTTTTGTTTGGGGGCCCCTGTTTGAGGGGCCCCCTTCTTTTAGATGTTTGTTTGCTTGCTTGCAGTAGAGACAAGCAGAAGATCAGCTGTTGTTTATTGCGCTGTTTGTTTAGAGACATTTAAACAAAACAAATGACAAACCACAAAACAATGGGGAGGAGACGGAGACAATCTGCATAAACAAACAAACAAAGTGTCCCCTTTTGTCTCCTTTTAGAGACACTCTCAGGTGTATAGGCACCTCTCCAATTGTCTATAGTATTTGTTTTGCTTGTCTTTTCGATTTGTTTTTCTTTATTATTATTTTCGTTTGTTTGTCTTCATTAATGTTTTTTTTGTTTTTATTATTTCTTTAGATTGTCTCCCCCTGGGCGGGGGCCTCCTAAGAGCCCCCTGGGGACCCTTAAGCGGAGGCCCCCTATGAGGGCCCCCTGGGGGGGGGCCCCTAGGAGGCTCCCGGGGCCCCCCAGAAAGGTACTTAGGGGGCCCCGCAAGACCGGGGCCCCCTATGGGGCCCCTAGGGCCGCCTAAGGGGTTCCTGGGCCCCCAAAGGGGGCCCCTGGGGCCCCCTTGGAGGGCCCCCTAACAGAGCGCTGGGGCCCCCTATGGGGCCCCTGGGGCCCCCTAAGAGTCCCCTGGGCCCCCCAAGGGGGCCACTGGGGACCCCTTGGAGTTCTGGGGGTACCCCCTGGGGGCCCCTGAGTGCTGCTGCTGTTGCTGCAGCAGCAACAGCAGCAAATGCAGGAGCTACAACAGCGCAGCAGCAGCAGCAGCAGCAGGGCCTCTCGCTGCACCAAAGGGACCCTCAGAGTGTGCAGCATATACTTTACAGAAAATTATGAGATTATCAACCCCCCCCACACAACCCGTGGGGGTTAAAGAATTAGGGTTTAGGGTTTAGGGTTTAGTGTATCGGGTTTAGTGTATAGGGTTTAGTGATTAGGGTTTAGGCTTTAGGGCTTAGTGCTTAGGGTTTAGTGCTTAGGGTTTAGTGTTTAGGGTTTAGGGTTTAGGGTTTAGGGTTTAGGGTTTAGGGTTTAGGCCTGCACACAAGTTCCCTTCCCCACCTTAAATATAAATATCCTTTCTTTTAGTTAAATTAAATATTTTAATTTATATTAATTAAATTAATTTAATCTTTTTATTTCTTTCTTCAGCTATACACTATACGCTTAATTCATATAAAGAGGGTCTGGGGGCCCCCTGGGGGCCCCTGGGGGCCCCCTAACTGCTAAGGAGCGATGAGGGGTTGCTAATGTGCTGGCGTTACTTTAAAAGTATTTCTTCTAAACCCTAAACCCTAATATCGAAACCCTAAACCCTAAACCTTAATATCGAAACCCTAAACCCTAAACCCTAACTCTTCGAGCGCGTTTGCGGTGTACAGGCTGCTGTGTTTTGCTCTCTCTCGATTATTCGATTGGCTATAAGGGTTGCGCAGCTGAGGGTTTAGGGTTTAGGGTTTAGGGTTTAGGGTTTGAGGGTTCAAGGTCTAGGGTTTAGGCTCCTTGTGTCTCCCCTTGGGGCCCCCAGGCCTTTGAAAGAAACTCCTAACCCCAGGGGCCCCCCCGTGGGGCCTCCTCAATACCTAGGGACCCTAAACCCTAAACCCTAAACCCTAAACCCTAAACCCTAAACCCTCAAGGTCTCCTTAACGACTGAAGAGAAGAGATGGAGGATTTAATTGATCAAGAAGACCGACAAAATGACAAAGAAAAATGGGTAAGCGAGAACTAACTAAACCCCAAACCCTAAACCCTAAACCCTAAACCCTAAACCCTAATGAATGCATTCGAACAACCAGAAACCCTTAACTTTGTCTGAATGTTGAGGGTTTAGGGTTTACCCTGTAGGCTTTAGCTGTCATGATTTAGAGCTTAAGGTTTACTATTCGCAGCTGAGCCCTTTAGGGTTTAGGGTTTAGGGTTTAGGGTTTAGGGTTTAGGGTTTGCGTGCAGATGGACACATTGTTGAGTTCTTTGGGCGCCGCCTTCTCGGATTTGAACAGCGTCGTCTGCGAACAACTTAATGAAGACTTCGCTCTAAGAAATAATTTACCTGTGTTAGTCTGTCTCCTTTCTTTGTCTGTCTCCTTTTATTTATCTGTCTCCTTTCTTTATCTGTCTCCTTCTCTTCTTTATCTGTCTCCTTTTATTTATATGTCTGTCTCCTTTTATTTATTGGTCTGACTCCTGTCTTTATCTGTCTCCTTCTCTTATTTATCTGTCTCCTTTTAGTTATCTGTCCCCTTTTATTTATCTGTCTCCTTTTATTTACCTATCTCCTTCTCTTCTGTATCTGTCTCCTTGTTTTGCTTATCTGTCTCCTTTTATCTATCGGCCTCGTTCTTGTCTTTATCTGTCTTTTTCTTTTCTTTATTTGTCTCCTTTTATTTATTCTGTCTCGTTCTTTTATTTATCTGTCTCTTTTTCTTTATCTGTCTCCTTCTCTTTTTTATCTGCCTCCTTTTATTTATCTGTCTCCTTGTTGTCTATCTGTCTCCTTTCTTTATGTGTCTCCTTTCATTTATTTATCTGTCTCTTTTTCTTTATCTGTCTCTTTTATTTTCTTTATTTGTCTCCTTTCTCTCCCGTCTCTGTCTGTCTCTTTTGGGTTCTTCATTAACTCCTTTCTTTGTCTCTTTTACTGTCTCCTTTTGTCTCTTTTACTGTCTCCTTCTGTCTCTTTTACTGTCTCCTTTTGTCTCTTTTACTGTCTCCTTCTGTCTCATTTACTGTCTCCTTCTGTCTCTTTTACTGTC